CGCTGCCTACCTGCATCCGCGTTATAAAAATGTCCATAAACAATTGGTAAGTTTATATACTTTTGGTTTGAAAATGTTTGGTTAAGTACCTAGAATTCAATAATTTGCTGTTTGTAGGTTTTAGATGTGTAGAAAGTGTTGTTTGAGCAAATGTTTGGTTTCTGCAGGTTAATCTCAGAAGTGAACTGCGTGAAAATGATGTATGGCTGCAAAAGTTGATTCAATAGTTTAATTGATTGTTTTTTGATTGTTTAATTGATTTGTAAAAGTTGATTCAATAGTAGATGATCGGAAATAAGAATTATTGCTTATTTTTTGATTGTTTAATTGATTTGTAAAAGATGATTTGTAAAAGTTGATTTGTGTAATTGATGCGAATATAATTCTTATTTGTGCTTGTTTAATTGATTGAAATGTAATGGTTGGTTTTGTTGATTTCAATCTGCATTATGTTGAAGGCAAAATTGACTATCGCAATGCGAAATGAAAATCGCAATGCGAAATGAAAATCGCAACGAGAGAATCGCAATGCGAAATGAAAATCGCAATGCGGAAATGAAAATCACAATGGGAGAATCGCAATGCGATTTTAATTTCGCATTGCGATTCTCTCGTTGCGATTTTCATTTCGTATTGCGATTTTCATTTCGCATTGCGATTCTCTCGTTGCGATTTTCATTTCGCATTGCGATTTTCATTTCGCATTGCGATTCTCTCGTTGCGATTTTCATTTCCGCATTGCGAAATGTAATGGTTGATTTTGTTGATTTCAATCTGCATTATGTTGAAGGCAAAATTGACTATCGCAATGCGAAATGAAAATCGCAATGCGAAATGAAAATCGCAACGAGAGAATCGCAATGCGAAATGAAAATCGCAATGCGGAAATGAAAATCGCAACGAGAGAATCGCAATGCGATTTTCATTTCGCATTGCGATTCTCTCGTTGCGATTGTAATTTCCGTGTTGCGATAGTCAAATGCATGCCTAATAGTGATAACAACTGAATAACAAGAGTTGGTTAAGTCAAAATGGTTGGCCTGAGTCATTAATTCAACTGAAAATGTTAAAAGTTCACACATAAAATCCACATAATACAACGTTTGCATTTAAAAATCACCTAAGTTAACAGTCCCAAAAGGTGAAGCCAATTGTGATTGGGATTTTGAAGATGGTTGCCTTTTGCTTGACACCATATGAGCTTTGGATTTTGATGAGGATCCATATTTTGGTAGAGGAAAAGATGATTTTGATGGCACTGGTGATCCACATGTCAACCTTGTATGACCACTTTCCTTGCACCGACTACATGTCGATCTCTTCTTCTCTTCACCCTTAGACGGTATACGATCGTGACTTTTTGGTTGGCCAGGTAGCCTTCTGTCCATGGCTGGTGGCAAAACTGTTTGTAAGTCATCTGGTATGTCCCACTCAGAAGGATGTGGAATAGGGTAGACAATCTCGACATAAGTCTGTCGATAAACTTCTGTAGTGTAGCAATCCATAGCGTATGCGCTTGAATCATCTTGGTTTAAATGAAGAGCAACTTTTATAACATGGCCACACGGATAACCAGATGTTTGCCATTTCATACAACTACACGTCTTTGCATTTAGATCGACTAGCCCATTTAAGTTATTATCCAGTACTTGAAACAAAGTGTTTGAACATGGTTCAACTCTCCATGACGTTGACTTCACAACACGTTTCGTTATCTTTTTTTCAGTCCATGGTGTAACACGATGTTCCAATGTTCCTGTAAATTTAAATAAACAATACTTAGTAAAATATAAATATGATAAGTTACGAATTCAAAGAAATAATACCTGCATAGTTTCTTTTCTTGTAGTACCACTGTTGAATAGAGGCTCGAAAAAACTCCATTAACATAGTAATGGGTAATTTCCGGGAATGACGACTTAGAGCGTTGATTGATTCTGCACTATTAGACGTCATGAAACCATATCTTGCTCCAAGTTGATGTACTCTTGACCATCTTTCAAACCCGACATCTTCTAGTGTTTGAGCACACTGAGGCAAAACACGTCTTAAACAATTTATATGCTTATTGAAATCCACTTCCCGATAAGCTTTTACAGCCTTCCAGTATGTCCATTTGTGCTTTTTTATACCAGCAGACCTTGATTTTAGATTTCTATACAAATGAACACCACAAAGTCCATGAAAAGCATCTGGGAAACACCTTCTAACAGCGTTGTCAATTGAGTTTGCCCTATCGGATATGATTGTCAGATTGCTAATAGGACCTATGCAATCCCTAAGATGCCCCATAAACCATGTCCATGAATCAGAGGTTTCAGATTTGCCAACCCCGTAAGCTATTGGCAATATCCCATTGTTAGCATCCATGGCTACTGCTAATAAGTTTACTCCAAGGTATCGACCTTTCAAATGTGCTCCGTCAACTATAATAACTGGGCGCATGCAAGTAATAAACGAACGAATCTACAAAATAATATACACAAGAAATATAATCATTTAAATGTGAAATGCATGTAACTAACAAAAATGAGTCAACAAAATTATATTGATTTACTAACCGTAGCACCAATGGCGATAAACAGCAACTCAAAGCGTCCATCTCTATCTGTTTTGATATGAGTTACCGACCCAGGATTTTTCAGCTTTAAATTGTGACAATAAGCCGGCAGTTGGGCAAACGATGCTTCTGGCGACCCCCTCAACAATTCCAAGGCATAACATTTGGCTCTCCAAGCTTGAGAATATGATATACTAATCTTGAACCGAGCATTCATGTCAGTCATAATTTCATGTCCCCGATATACCCTGCCATTCAAAAACATTAACTCAGCCAGAAAACCACCCAACACCTTTTTGTTTGCCTGTCTATGGTGAGGAAAAACTTGGGTTCTTGAACATGTATGTTTATCAATAAAAGTCCTAACTTGAAACATTTTGCAATCTTTTATTCTCTTTGCAATCATACGCCACGTACAGTTTTTGTCAATCATACACCTTGTTTCGAAACGATCTTTGCTTGATTTGTTAACTTTTAGTTGATAGCCATCTTCCACACATTTCGTATACAAAGCTATCTTCAAGTCTTCCTTTGTATCAAAACAATCATCTTTCTTGACACGAATAACTTTTGTGTAACAATCAACTGCTTTCTTTGCCAACTCTTCTTCCGGTAACTGAAGTAATTCTGGCATATTCCAGTTATACTCCCGTGGCATTTTCTTTTCTTCGGGGACTTTTTCTTCTTCTTTTTCTTCTTCAGGATTATATGAATTACAGAATGGATGTTCAACATGTTCATTCACAGTCGTAACTTCCTCCTCATTATCATCAACAACATCTTCCTCGGCAACGGGTGTTTCATCATCAAAATTCGGGTATTGACCAATATTAAAATCATTACACACATGGTCTGTTTCTTCTTCTGAAACATCATCAAAATCCGTGTATTGACCAATATCAAAGTCCGGATATTGACCAAGACCAAATTTCGAATACTGACTAGTACTCACAATTTTTTCTGTTGGCTCATCATCGTCTAACTGGTCAATACGAAAACCGGAATTTGGTGCTGAAAGTTGATTGGGATTTGGATTAGAGAAAGGTTGTGGGTTTTGAGAAAAACTTAGTTGATTACTACCCGCTACTGACCCAACAATACTACTTCTAGGTTCAACAACATACAATGTAACATCATCTTGTGAAACACTAATGTAAGCAATGAATCGTTCAACATCTTCATTGTCGGTTAACAAATAAACTTTACCATTTCTCTGATAAGATAGCCTAAATCCACTTAGGGGCTCTAAATTCAATTTATTTGAAACACGTAGCATTAGAGTTTCATAAGTTAACTTTTGTAAAGACAATTTTAGTTGAAGATTCATGGGTAAAGGCATATATTGTAAAACACCATGAACATTATCCCATGACCCTCCAAAACACAAATCTATCCAAACATGATCAACATTAGATGATTTCATGGTTGTAAATTAATTTACTAAACAGACATGCCGGATTGGGAAGGATGTCGTTGGATATAGGAACGGATGTCGCCGGAGAGAGTGATAGATGGAGATGGAATGAGTTGCGATTTAGGGATTTAGTTTATGATTTCAGTGTTATATACCCAAAATTTCAGTGTTGTGATTTACAGATTCTCGTTGCGATTTACAGATTCTCGTTGCGATTTACGGATTATCGTTGCGATTTACGGATACGCGTTGCGATATACGGATACGCATTGCGATTTACGGATACGCGTTGCGATATACGGATACACGTTGCGATTTATGTGTTCGCGTTGCGATTTTCATATTCGCGTTGCGCGAATTTGTACTATCGCATTGCGATTTTCAAGAATCGCGTTGCGATTTTGGAAACTGATTTGCGATTCTGGGGATCGCGTTGCGATTTTTATTTCGCGTTGCGATTTTGTTGGTCATTTTGGCAAATCCAAAAAAAGTTGGTTAAAATCGTATATTATAACTTTTTTTTGGTCACTGAGGCGATTTTCTCAAATATTAATAGTATACTATAATAAACAATGTAACTGAAGTAAAACAAATCACCATCATAAAAGATCAACACTGAAATAAACCCTAAACACACATAGGACTAAAAAGAAACATGAAACAATTTAAGGTCCAAATGACTAAAACATTAAAAGTTATATACAATAATACTACTTGGTACTGAAATTAAACGCGCATAAAATAAAAGAACAAAATTATAAACATGCAAACATTGATTTAATGACCTAAATGAATTACAAAGAAAAATACGATGACCCTCATATCAAATAACAATTATAACTAAAATTTAAATTTGGAAAATAACTAAATCGAGACAAACATAAAAGGTTAAATTAGAAAGCCCTCCTTACCAGTGACTAAAGTATAAATATGCGGTAAACTTTCAGTGACCTTAAAGAAATTAACCCTAATCAGTTAATATAAAACTCTATTTTGCACTAACCCTAATCTGATTTCCAGCCTCCTTCAGCCCCATATCAACATCTCTCCATTCTTTTCCTTCGTCTTCCCACTTTCGCATGCCACGGCCGAGACTTCAAGAGCTTTAGAACCAACTCCGACCATCGCGACTATAATGAGGATTCAACAAGCTCAGGTAACATAACTATAATTCTCTTATTACTCTATTTCCATCTCCTTCTCCCAAACCGAGAGTTCCAAAACTCTCTACGCCGGCCGCCGTGCCGTGGTAGCTGCACTCCTCTCTGATCCAAGCTTAAACTTGAGACCTAAGCCTCTCGAGTTTCTACTCAAAGACCCAAAAACCTAAGCAAACAGCCATGTAATCCAATACTTCCAATTCCAAAATGCTAAACTTGACCGAAAAGATTTTATAGCTTCGACCTTCTCTCCTCCGGCTATGGGAGCACGCAACACTAAGGTAATAACTTAAACCCCCTCTATTTCTATTTTGATATTCTGAAAACCCGACGTATGAGAACTAAACTAAGTAAATAACATGCAAGGATTCGAAAAACTTACAGCACTCTTACGAACCTTCGGCGACGATCCGAACACAGCAAGGTAAATGGATCTCTCTAATTTTTATTTATTTTCGAAATAATACTAGCAAACACAGCAAGATGAACTGGACAACGAAAAGAAAAATCGAAGAAGAATACTTGAAAAAAAAATCAATCTTTCTATTTCTTTTTCAGTTTTTGAATACAATCCTGAAACTCTTGTTATAATAATTATTTTTCAGTATCTGGGAAGAAGAAATTGTGTTTTCTTTTGTTACCCTGTTTTTTTTCCTTCCCCCCTTTTTTGCTGCTGCCGTTCCCTTTTCTTTTTATGTTGCATATGATTTTTGTCCCATTTGTTTGCTGCCAACGAGGAGATAAGGTAATGGTCCAACTAAATCTCATTTGGATATCTTTTGTACCTACTTCTCCATTTATTTTTATTTTTCTCTGTTTTTTTACTTTGGTGTGTAGTTGGTGATGGAGGGGTTGAATTGGGGGTAGGTGAAATCTTTGACTTTGGCTTGATTTGGTGCCTGCAGATCAACTCGTCGGTGGTGCTTCACGTGGGATTTCGAATGAGAGCCCAGGACAAATCGAGCATCTACAATGCACATGCAGGATTGTGTATGATGAATATGAAGAAGTTCAGAACTGCCCCATGGTTACCGTGGAGTGGACAAACAGGATCACCCTGTTTATATTGAAGGAATTGGTAAAACTGACCCTGCCAAGCTGATGAAGATCACTACAGTCGAAAGATTTTTAAAATATCATGTGCAGGGATTTGAGAAGGCTTTTTTGGAGAAGTTTCCTGCCTGTTTTGTTGCTGCTCAGAGGAACATAGATCGTACGACAACAATATTAGATTTCCAGGGGTTGGTTAGTATTAAAAAAATGACAAATCATATGTATTTAATCCCCATCATGTTTCACATTATTTCCTTCTTATGCAGAACTGGGTGAGTTTGGCAAGGTTTCACATGATCTCTTGATGCACATACAGCACATTGATGGTGGCAACTATCCTGAGGTATCTTAATTGTTTCATTAAGCTGATTGAATATATATATGTTTGCGCGTGTGTCTCTGTTTCTTATGTATAAATTCCTCTATTGTTGCTTACATCTGCATTCTCTCCACAGACTTTACATCAAATGTACAAAGTTAATGCTGGAAGTGGATTCAAACTACTGTGGAACACAGAAAAAGGCTTTCTTGATCCAAATACTACTGCAAAGGTTCATGTATAATAAGTGCTTAATTTAGTCAATATTTTGCTTTTAAATTACTCCTTAATCATTGGCTTTTGTGGTTTAATTATTCGTTTTCATTCATTTTTCGTGCAAGACGTTTGATTCTGGAAATTGCAATAAAAGGTCAGAATTATGTAGTTTTTTTTTTAATTTTCGGAATCAAAGCTGGATTAGTAGGCATGAATTCGGACATGAAATATCCGACGAGGCGATACGTCAGCATTTTCTAGAAGATCCAGTCAGCGTTTCTAGAAGCACGAATGGATTGGCCGCACGTTTCTGGAATTCGAATTTAGATTAAACTCAAGTTTTAGGATAATATTTTAAATATTATATTTTATCTTTATTTTATGATTTTAGTTTAAATAGTTTAGTATTTTAATTAGGATTTATGATATTATTTTAAATATTATTTTTGTTTTAATTGTTTTAGTTTAAATAGTTTTAAGTGTTTTAAATAGGATTTAAATTGTTTTAGCTTGTTTTTATTAATTTGAAGACTATAAATAGGTGAGTTTATAAACATATATCTCTTATCTGAGAATAAAATCTTATTTTTATCTTTAGTTTTCTATCTATATTTCGCATACTCCTTTCAAAATGTATATGATCCGGATCCGAGTTTGAGGTGTCACAATAACTTTTCAAAACGTTTATTTGACAAAATCAAAAAATTCAGTTTTGACATTTCAAATGAACCAAATAGCTTCTATTATATACAAACATAAGGTTTTACAAACTTATCAGAGCGTATCCAATACAAATCTTTTATCTTACATGCCAACTATAGTTCAGATAACAAAATACATATAATTTAAACTTTTCTGATCTAATCTTTAGGAAGGAGAACTTGACTTGACATGCTCATCTTCGAACCTTTTTTCTTCTTCTCAGAACCTACGTATGAAACATTCACAAGCTAAGTCGATGACTTAGTGAGGCATTAATAAATTTAAATATAAAATCTAAATTCTAATTTCTACTATGCACACTTCATATAATCCTACTAATTTATCAAACTCATTATGCATCCAAAACATAAATACATACATGTACCTATCATACCAACACATATATTCTTTTATGGAATAGTTACACTTATGCACACATGTCATCATTTACGTTCATAACCTTATCGCATATTATTATCTTTAATACACATATACATCATATAATAGCATATCACCCAAACAAACATATAACATCATATAGAATTTTCTTATATTGTATCTTTAATGGCCTATGTACACATGTGAGAACTATAGATATGTGAGTCTACAGAGGTTGTGCACTAATTCTGTCACCACAACTCGTATAAATGCACTGAAGTGCCATATAAAATGTCCATAAGGATCACATAGAAATTCCTTAAGAATCATATACATATTCTAAAGACCAAGTATGTGTCTCAAAGGACCTCATAGATGTTCCAAATGATACATATATGTCCCGAAGGACTGTGTATACTTTCGACTCTTGGCATGCCAACTATATCCCTAGCTCTCATGACACATAACATGTGCATTATTATTTATATCATTTCACATATTCACATAAGCACATAATTCACTTTCACATTTCACGTATCTTATGTCACATAACTTGGATCACATATACATATAATCACGTATATCACTTTTACACAGCTTACATCTACTTTTCACGTCATTTTACATTTCTTATCACATTGCTTATATCTTATTCTTATGTTCATAGACATATATTCACATGTTCATATAGTTCACCATCTCATCATATAAATATGTACTCATTTCATTTCACATATAGTCTCATAACTTATCCTGGTATAAATAATATAACATTTTTCCAACTCATAGTCATATATATATATATATATATATATATATCATTTTACCTATACTTTTATTCACATGGTTTATGTTATTCTTATCATAATCACATATGTCATATTTAATAACTTATATAATCTCATATAGCTTAAGCTTCATTCTCTTATATTTACCTATATCATGTAACCTATGTCATACTTATAAACACATATCACTTTTATCATTTCATTTATATATATTAATCTAATATATTTACTTAGTTCAATTTCATATAACCCATATGTCATAATTTTATTTAAGCACATGAATCCTTTCTTTATATCTTATCTTATAAGTTCGTATCATCATTTATGTTTAAGTCTCCTAATTAATATACTATTCTCCTATCCTTCTATAGGTCAATCTTGTTTAGCTGATCTCATTTTTCATTTAATCATACAATTCTATTATACTAATTTACATAAATGATCACACAACTATGTACTTGTCTAACTCCAGTTCCTATTATTTATATAACCTTTATATTTGTTTACCTACTTCCTATTAATTCTTATGAACTCACTTTTATCATATTCTCTTATTATTACATAATTTATCTCCTCAACCTGTATTCACATACCTTAAAATCATATAACTTATATCATTCATACGTAGTCACATAGTTCAATATCACATGGTTTATATCATATTCACACAACATGTATTCACAACAATTATATAACATACCCAATAGCGTACATCATATATATTCATATCAAACACATGCTTATAGTCATGGATTTATGCATTCTAATATAAGAAGAAATAGACTTATCGCAAGTCTTATTTCCATTCATCATCATATAATAACTAAGATGCACTCACCTGGCCTCATTAGTCAATTTGAGCACTTATAACTCTTTGTCTTTCCCTCGATTGATCCTACTTGCCAATTGTTCCGGAACTTGTTTAGGCTCTATATCTACATCAATATAATTTCCAAGACGATTATCAGAAGCTTAAACCTTATAATTCGATGCTAATAACTTAAGCTAATTTAATGAACCAAAATTCATTTTCCCCTTTAGGAGGGTATCGGTAAACTACGGGTGTATCGGTACCCAAATTAGCTTCGAAATTCACAGGTATCAGTACATTCCTTAATGTATCGATACACTATGAATTATCAACACTTCACCCAATTTTCATATATAAGGCCCTTGTTATACTACCAAACTCAATTATAACCACTTTAATTAATCTCTATCATTCCAACATCTTATTATCTCCCATATCTCATCCAAATTCTTAGACTTCTCTTTACTTTTCTCTCTCATCCCATGCTAAATATCCTTTATAAAGGAAAATAAAAATCTTTACTTTGAAAAGACCAATTTATCCTTACTTCATTCAATATTTACTAAACCATCATTCATAAAATATTTCCCAACTCAGTCCCTAAACTTTTCAATTTTTTGAAATCATACCTCAAAGTTTCAAAAATTACCTTTTAGTCACTAGCCCTACTTTTGGGATGTTACAAATCTCCCATCCTTTAAAGAAAATCCGTCCTTGAATTTTCACTGCATACATCGATAAAACACTACTTATACATATCTTCTAATGTTCTTATTTTACTTCATTTACTTAATCTTTCCTGTCCTTATAGATCCATCTAATGTCAACCATCACATAAACAGAAATCCTAATCCTTACCATTCCCATTCACGAGTCAATTGATTTCTTTCATCATTCTCTAATTGCTTTGTCCCATAAACCACCCTTCAACTGTATCTTGAACTTCCTTAATATATATAATTAAATTCTTATATTCCTGACTACATCTACTTGAACAACAAACATAACCTTAAATCTTTATTAAATATGATTAAGGCGTATACTTTACGAAATCAACCAATCTTTTCGTATCACCTTATATATTTTTCTTACTTCTACATCAAACTTATAATCTACACTTCCATATAACTCTTATCATATCTATTTCTCTAAATTTCATCCTTTCATTTCCTTATTCCATTATTTTTCATAACTCAAAATATCCTTATAACATCGATCATATCTTCTCTTTCATACTCTCATACTCTTTTCATGTTACTTATACTTATCTCTAATTACCCATTCTTCCCATCTTCATAACTCTGATAATCCAAGCTTTTTGCACAAATCTTATTCCTTGTAAAATCCTTATTCAAATATAATACAAATATCCCATTTTATCACCTTAATCTTTTACATAAATCCTTAATTTCCCTTAAACATATGAATCCTTATCTCCTCCACTGCATCATATTCATATGATCAAATATACAACCGTATCCAAATCCACGCCATACTTGATTACTTTACCCTGACATTATCTTCTAATCTTTTAACTCAATTACACTTACTATCACATAACTTCGTTAATCAACACCGATTCTTCCAATCTGAAACGTAAAAATTCATTGAACAAATTATATACATTCCTTTCAATCAAAATTAACCCGTCAATAATTTATTTAACTTATCATATCCACATCCTTTTTCAGGCACTATGCAATTTCCTTTGCTCAAACTCAACATTCCAACTTCCTTTGTCTTGTAAACTAATCACCGATGTACACATTCTTAAACTCTTTCGTAAATTCAATTAACATAATTACTAACAGAACTCTTAATCCACTCCTCCATTTTCATATCTTTCTTCATATCTATCTTCAACTCCTTATTAAATTTTCCAGTACTAGACTCGACTACTTAAGTGAGTCCGACTTTTATCAGATTGGATCTTTTAACATGAAATACTACTGATTCCAACCATGATTGTATTTGAAACCCAAAATTTACGCCTCTCTTTCATAGTGCTAATCATTATAAAATACCAATTCTCTTAATCATTCTGAGCTCTCTCTAGAACTATAGTACAATTAACTACTTCTTGAAAAGGGAATGATATCAACACCAATGCCATTATTTTAATCTGAGCACAATTCCTTCATAATCCACTTGCATACCTCATTTTCATGTAAATTAGCTTAACAATTATTCAATCAACTTATCAAACTACACTCTTATCCATACATGTTATGATTTCATTGTTCAAATTCATAAGCTCTGGCTTTATACATATGATAAACTTATCACTAAATACTTATTCTCGAATTTTTCTAAACTAGTAACCTCATCACTAAATCTTCTAACATTCACATGGTGACATTTGTTCACCATATTT